GCCCATCCCCGAATCGGATTAGGGTTAGGGTTCGGAGTTGGTATTGGATCGGATCTAGCTGGCTTTTTTCTGAGCGGGTGTGTGAAAATGAAAGAGGAGGGAGTGATTAGGGACTTTTTTTGGTCTGGAACTGAATTGGATTTGAGAGTGATTTTGTCGCCCATCCCCGAATCGGATTAGGGTTAGGGTTCGGAGTTGGTATTGGATCGGATCTAGCTGGCTTTTTTCTGAGCGGGTGTGTGAAAATGAAAGAGGAGGGAGTGATTAGGGACTTTTTTTGGTCTGGAACTGAATTGGATTTGAGAGTGATTTTGTCGGTGAAAGCGGGTCGGATTCGGGTTAACGGGTCGGAGTTGGGAGAGTGGAGAGAGAGAGAGGGGGAGGCGGGGGAAGAGAGAGAGAGAGAGGATCTAATTACGGAAGGATTTATTTGTAGAAGGTTAATTAATGAGCGAAAAATGAAAGTACGTTGAATTCCTTAAATAAGACAAGAGGGGAGAAAATGTGAGGTGTGATCGGCACGTTGGTCCGGATGCTCGTGATATGTTTAAATTTTTAAATACATCTAAATGTGTTTTTATTATATATATATTTTCTTATATTGATCTCTGACTCTCTTTTGTTTTTTAATGAATTTCCAGAATCTTATATATTTTGAATAAGTTCCTAAACCTGTAACTTTTCTTAGAAAGAAAAAACCCAAATCTATAAGTATTCTTAAGTAAATCTCAAATCTCATACATTTCAATTAAGTCTTAAAAATTATAATTGTTAGACCCTAATGTCACTAGGAAAGAAACCTAGAGGGGAGGAGTGGGTGAATAAGGTTTATGTTAATCTAATCTGATTTAATATCAATTAAAAACTTATTAACAAGTTATCCTAGCAAATAAGATATGCAACAAATTATATGCAATGATAAGCAATATATACAAAGGGTAAAATAAACAAACTACATATGTGATAGGACAATATAAACAAAGAGTAATAGACAATGATGATATAAGATAAACACAAAAGTAAATGCGTCAATGACAAACTCAAACACAAGCAAATGATCACGGAGTTCGGACCTTCCGTCCTACGCCTCCGCTCCCCACTCCCAGGGAGAAATCCACTATCACACCGGGTTTTCGATGCTCACCCGCAAAACGTTTACACCTTACTCTCGGTTTTCTAGCTCACCGAAAACTTTACAATCAACACTCTTGCAATCTCACTCTACACCCTCTAAGTGTTGGTCTCTAACCCGTGTCTCCCTCAAATATTCGGATTTACAACCTCTCCCTAGGCTTTACTACCGACGTCACTCCTCTTGGGGCGATCACGTCTCTCACCACACACTCATCTCGGCGTATAAGTGTATTACAAAGTGTATCCTCACAATTAGGCTCTAAAATCAAATGAGTTCTCTAAACAATGTGAGAACTCAGTTAAGCACAACTCAAAGTTACAATCTCTCACAACCCTAATTATACTATGTATGTAACTACTAAAAGCTCAAGTAGGTGTGTGTAACAATGAGATTAAATTAAAACAAATCTAAACTCAAATAATTACTAGCTTATGGAAATAAAAATCAAACAATATAAAAAGCTAGATAAGAGTATAGAAAAACTTCTCTATGATGACAAGAGAGAGAGAGAGAGGTGAGTTGAAGCTCAAACACCAAATGATGATCTCTTCTAGCTCTTGTGAAAATTTCTTCACAAACTTGAAACTTGTAAACACACTAAATAAAACTTAAACACCCTTTAAAACATGCATAAAACTTTTTACTTAGTTGGTGAGAATAATAAATACAATGGGGGTATTTATAACAACCCAAAACATTAGCCGAAACCCACACAAAATAACCAAAAACCCAAATAAAAACAAAACTGGAAACTAGGTGTTATTGTGCAACGGCTACTTCAGCGGTCGACCGCAGAGACACGGTCGGTCGACCGCGAACGGCTAAAAACAGAACTAGGTCTCTGGACAATTGGCGGTTGACCGCCGTGACCACTCCGGTCGACCGCGGACAGATATATCAGATACACAAGTTTGAAAATAGTTTTCTGACTTTTAAACTTGATTTTAAAATAGTAAACAAATTCGGAAAAATGTAAAACTTTGGGGAATGCTTGTAAACATGAAAATGAACATGTTACAAAAACTAGTTTTCAAATAGCACTTCCCATTTGTGAAATCTCATCATTTTTCAAAATCACTTAAAATACGAAATCTCGAAAATATTTGATTTTGATAAAATAACTTAAACAACCTCTTGAAATATTTTGAATGGGTTTATAAACTTATACAAGATATGAAAATAGTATAAACAAGTCTTCAATCCATAAACATATAATTTTGCAAATAAACGTCTTTAATCCATAAATGAAATCATGTTTATTTGCATGTATAGATATGAAACAAATACGTGTATATATAGTTGTAGGCATATAAAATTGCTTATAGGTCCCTTAGCTCAGCTCGGCACAAACCGACGAACCAACGAGGCGACGAGGTTGACGAATCGCACGCAAGCAACGGAATACATCCATTCGCGTGTGGAATCAAGCCAAGTATTCGAAGAGTCAACGAGTCATCCAGCCAAGGGCAGACTCGGACGAATCACGATCGAATCAAAATCAGTTTCGGACTCGAACTCAAAAGTGGATTTACTGCCAAATCAGGAATCGGATCTACTGCCAAATTAGATCAATAAATCAGAGTCCGAATCAACCACAAGATCGGACAAAATGACGGAACCCAAACACCCTGAGGGGCTCGGCCGAAACCGAGCCACCTCAGGGTGGCTCGGCCAAGGCCGAGCCACCCAGGGGTGGCCGGCCACTTGTGGTCGAGCCACCTCAGCCCAGATCTGTGCCTAGGCACAGATCTGGGTGCCTATAAATAGGCCAAGGGTGGATCATTTTTGGAGGTTGGAACTTTGAGAGCCGAGACTCTGCCGAATTGAAGATTGAGCTCAGAGTTTTGAAGACTTGAAGATTCAGATCTGGTTCTCGGCGAGTTAAGGGCGATTATTTCCTTGGTGAACTAATCCCCCCCGGCTATTATTTCCTTTACGAAATAATACCCGTCGAATCTTGTAGATCCGACCGGATCTAGATCACGCGGTGGTCCACGGATTAACCCCGGCGTCGGCAAAGAACCCACACAAGCGAGCGACCGCAAAACAGGAGCTCGCGATTTGTTCTAAAGGAGAAAGTTGTAATCTTTTTATTTTCTTTGATTTTCGTTGTAACCGGATCTAAAAAAGACCGGATCTTTTGTAACTTAAAAAGTTGTTATTTAAGATGACAATGAATTCAATGAAGGCAATTTTCACCGCGAACAATAGCTATATCCATTTGTTTCATATATATATGGCTAAACATATTGCTAAACAAAATCAATAAATATGAAACATGTATATATATATATATATATATATATATATGTAAACAAGTATATA